AAATTCATGAAATTTTCCCATTTTCAGACAAATTGTCTTCTCTTTCCCAAAGTGAACAGATGCTACGATCGAGTTTCTTCTCAGATGACCTTTTCCCATCAAAAAAGCCACGCATAGACAGTTTGAGCTACTACAAGTAAGCACCTTTTCTTTTGTCATTCAGAGCTCACTTGATGCTCACCTAGCCAATTACCGAAGTGCTTGGGCAATTCATCATACATATTCCTTTCTCGTACACTTCACTTGTCAAACACTTCAGATGACTTATCGCTTTTTCTGTTGTTTCCCATAATCTACGGATGTTCCGCCTCTTTTACTCTGACTTCACGATAGTTTGGCTTACTTTCCGCCCTCATTTTCTTTCGGATTAGCTCAAGTGATTCTCTCTGATGATTCTTATTGATTCGAATGATAGCCTCTGGTCTTCTGCAGTCTCACATCCTCTTCTTGGAACTGTTATTATGGCTTCTTCTTTAATTGTGGAAGACTGTGGACATCGCCGTGACATACACTGCCAAATTGAATGGAATAGCTTTTAGATGAATTTTTGTAAACATGTTCTCTTGCAGAGTATGCGAATATGCGAAACCTGCAAAGAAGATCCCAGCACGTATTACCACACTCCATAAGCAGGCATCTTCGAACGTACCTATCCAAGTTGAAGCTTCAAGTGTAAATGTGAGAGGCCCATTTGGAAGAACCGCCCTGATGATGTTGTGTGACAACTTTGAAAAACCTGAAAGTCAACTCATTGAGGAAGTGGACAAAATATGGGCAGCTGGTGGAGATTTGAATGTGCAAGATGACGGTATGTCTTAATCATAAACCCCTATGAGAAGAATTTTGAATTAGAGCCTTTACAGATGAGGAAACTGCAATTTTCATTGCTGTACGACAAGGTCGGTTGGGACTCGTGAAGAAGCTGCTGGACATGGGAGCAGATCCAACCATCATGAATCACAACGACTCCACTTGTCTTCATGAAGCTGCCGCTAACTGTAATCTCAGTTTGGTCGAAGAACTACTCAGACATAATTCCGTGGTGAAGGAGGTGAGTTGGGTCGAAAGACAAAGAGGCTAGG